AGGTGGGGTGCCGCCAGGTGAAGGTGGGGTGCCGCCAGGTGAAGGTGGGGTGCCGCCAGGTGAAGGTTTGGCACAGCCATCTGCCACAGAAAAGTGTCAATTGTTACAATCCAAACCGTCCAACTTAGAAATCGGTGTAACGTCCAGCTTGTAAGTCTTGTAGTTTCGAAGCTCTACCCTACGACGTCATTATCACATCGAGAATGGATTTTAAAATGTATAGCCAATAGCCTTCGATGTCAGGCAGATTCTAAAAGAATGGAAGCTTTCACGCCTCCAAAGTATCACAAATCAGAATGCATTTTTCGTCTGGCCAAACTTTTAAAGGCTTACTCACCATCTGAATTATCGCCTTCGACCACTTTGCTTAACACTTTTGCGTTCACTGGTATTTTCAGAAGGTTCGACTTCTTATTCCCACTCAAAATTGGGACATTAAGGAGGGCACTGCTCACAGCGACTAACGCGAATAATGGGATCTGCAAAATTATATAATTTCGTTAAGTTTACCTTTTTCTCTATTGTTAAAGGAAAACGTTAAGGGTTGTGTACCTCTTTTTTTATACAGGGTTATTTTTAAAGTACTGACAACCTCGCAGGACTATATTACTAACAACATAAACAACAACTTTTGTTCCTGACGTTTAGGTTCTTTGAACCGAGTTATTTTGGACTAAAACCCTTCTTCGTTGAGGGCAAATGCCTTAGTTGAATAAGATTATACTCTTATTTATATAAACTTGTCATAGCGCACACAAGTTACCGTTCGCCTGGGGATACGGTTCACCAATTAGCGGCTACCAATGGGTACAAAAAAACTGAAGTCACTAGTTGCTTATTACTAGTTGAACCCCGCGAATGGAAAATGGCGCGTAGATTTCAAATCTTCTTGATAACATTTTACATACATTTGACAGTAGTAGTAGTAAAATTGTTCCTCTTTCGGGACAGGCTAATGCGTCTAAACCATACTGCCAGATCTTAAATTTAAAATTTTCTTGAGTAATAATAATAATAATAATAATAATAACGCACACACTCAACATAGCCCCGCACTAGGGAAACCCTGTGTCGCGGGTGCCATGGACACACAAATACACAACCACAAATTACACCCAAACTCACGAGAGAAATAAATGTAGGTCATACAAATATTTCGCCCGGCCCGGGAATCGAACCTGGGACCTCTGCGTGGCAGTCCGGCATGGTAACCGTTCGGCCACGGAGGCAGTGAGTGATTTCATTTAAAAGCAAAGCCAATCTTCAGTATGAAATTTATTATAAGGCACATTGCCAAAAATATTTGATCTTTCCGTTTCATGCAGTTACCAATTCTTTAATAAAAGTTTTAAAAAAAATCTTGGAATCTTTTGCTGGAATGCAATCATTTAGTTGTAGAGCTTAGGCAATTAAGATGTCCTACTTTTTATTAAGGGTACGTTTATCATGTTCACATATTCCGTCAAGAAGTGGATAATTTTGTGTCAGTTTCGGAAATATTCGTACTTGCCACGAGAGGAGTTTAAAATAATTTCTAGTGAAGGGCAGGTGGGATAAGAGGAACACCGGGGGAAGAGGGACTTGACGCTCTAGCTCATAATCTAAAGAGTTTAACATTATAGTTTCACAGTCGAAGAAACCGACAAACAAATTGGTTTGAACGATTTCAAAGAGTCACCCTGAGACATAAGTTTAAAAGTCCCATGTGCCTGTAATTTCACCCGTACCCTTACCCTTCAAAATCGGAAGGCAGTAATGGTCGCATTACTGCTTTGCGGCAGAAATAAGGTGTGCTCCTGTTACACCACCTGACCGTAATAATAATGCGCTATCCAACCACATCAATTACTTGGTCTCAAGCTAGGGAATTCCCTATACCATGAGTACCAAAGCAATGGAATGAATTCTGTTCCAGGGCACTAGCCAAGACACCGAGACCAGAGCAAATTTAAAAAAGTTCATTTCCCAAATTGAGCCTAACGGAATTGAGCCCGAGACCTCATTCAATTTCTGCTGTGTAAGCTGATGGGCCTCAAGAGATCGGACAAATTTCGTAAAAACTTGTGCGACGGGAAGGTCTAAGAAACAGTGTACACTAGAAATTTAGCATAAATAAATAAGAAGAAAAATAACAAATATGCATTGTAAAAAGTAAAAATAATTAGGTACTTACTAAGAACTTCATATTGGAGCAGTAGTTTTGACAAGGGCACCGGTAGAATTAACTGTCTATGCACCGCTTCGACGCCTTATATACGATGGCAACACAAGAGACAAACAAACTTTTCTTTGAATGTTTTACAATTGCATAAAGTATTGTTTGGCATGTGCAAATAGTTTTTGTTACTGTTTCGATTGCCCGATGTGTTTTTTCAAGGTTGCGAAAACTTACAAGTAATGGAAATGGAACATGTTTATGGACTATTTTTTTATAATGACCGGTTCAGCTCTTCCAGGTTGTCTCGTTAGTAACAAATAGCAATACTTAGAGTTCCTTACTCATTCTTCTCAGGGGAACTTGCCTTACGAATTAGCGTGTTTAATTGCGACGACTTCAATGTAATTAAGTAACTAATAGATTCAGGCATTACTTCACGAAAATCCGTGTTAACAAAAGTTGAAGTAAATTAATCCTCAGATCTTTGTGATTTGAAGCTCCGAGTGGCACTACAACTGTTATGGGCAGGCGTGACGCTTCCCACCAGGCCCATGACTTGTTCGTCTCGTCACTTAGTATCATAAAAGGGCTGAGTGAAATTACTGAGTGACAAAACAAATTCAATTAAAATGAAACGTAAACCTTATTGCCAACTAATGGCTCGTTACTAAATGTAACCCACCTGTACTCCGTGTTAGGCTGATTACGTCTCTTTCTTTGGAATAGGTGTAGAGGGCGGTAAACGGCGGAACTCGGTGAAGATGACTTGGTTTATTGTGCAGAGGCTTACAATAGGCTTACCATACAGATGTGTCCAATACAAGAGAGTCGTCCCGTTGATGCGATCGCGGCGCAGAGTCCGCGACAAGTCCCGGTGCTAAATGCTAGTGACAGGTCATTACATTAGGGAAAATCTAAATCCTTCGGGGTTAGAAGCATCAAACTGTGGGATTCTCTGCCTGAATCGATGTACTCAAGCTGATTATCTTATACACTAATTGCTTTTCTTTTTTCCCCTATTCCTACCTATTTTAAACTTTATGGGTTGTTATTATTAGTATGTTTTATATAATTCTACTTCATTTTGTTTCCTAATCCTACAATCATATATATTTTGGTGGTTATGTATTTATTTTTATTTACTTCAATGTTTTATTTATTTATTACTATTATTTGGGATATATGTTTCAGACTATTTTTATTATTCTTTTTCTTTTTTTTCGTTGCCTGTTATACCTGTCTTTTGATTTTTTGTATTATTTTGTATTTCTACCAGTGCATCTTGCATGGAAACGGTTTTTGAGATTCGAATTTGACGATGGACTATGGTGCACCTAATTTTTTCTTTCGGTTAAAAAAAACATAATGACACGTTGAACTACGCGATTTGTCGCACATTATTTTTTATGTAATATATCAATAACTATGTTACGCGGATGATAATATGGTCCTGCTGAGCCCAACAGTCAGAGCACTTGAGGTACTCCTGCATATGTGCGAAGAGTATGTGAAGTCACACGGCTTGACGTATAATGTAAAAGAGAGTGTGATAATGGTCTTTAGGGCCGCCGGGGGCAAATTACCGAGTTATGTTCCACCCATTAAGATAAGCAATATAGAACTCGAGCGGGTCTATCAATACAAGTACCTTGGCCATTTTGTCTCCGCCGACCTTAAGGACCTCATGGATTTTGAGAGGGAACGCAGGGCGCTGGCGGTCAGGTGTAATATGGTGGTGCGAAGGTTTGCGCGTTGCAGTGAACAAGTAAAGATTCTACTTTTTAAATCATACTGCCAAGTTTTTTACACGTGCAGCCTTTGGACCAACTATACGCACAGAGCCATCAGCGCCCTGCGAGTACAATATAACAATGGTTTTCGTATGTTGTTGGGGCTGCCGCCGTTCTGCAGCGCGTCAGGCATGTTTGCACAGGCTCGCACTGATGACTTTTATGCCATTATGCGCAAAAAGTCGGCCTCACTTCTCTGCAGACTGCGAGCCAGCTCCAGCCCAATACTGAAGACCATTGCCAGGAGAATTGACTCTCCCTTTATGCGGCAACTTTTTTCGCCTCGTTTTTAAGTGCTTCAAATGTTCATGTTTTTATTTTAATTTTAATTTAATAATGTTTAGATTTTAGTGCCTACTAACATAATTTTTAAGAATAAAATTGTTACTAACACATGTGGACTAAATAGTTGTCTGAAATAAAATATATTATTATTATGTTTATTATAAACTCTCGCCTCTCCCAAGGCCTAAAAGACTAATTATTTTGAATTTTTAAATGGGAGAGGCGGTATTTCCCGGCTATGGCACAGTCGGCGAGGGTCAGGGACTCAGGTCCAAGAATCGGCGAATAATACGTGCCGTATCGAGCAGGACCGCCTTCTGCATTTGTGCTGGAAGCGACACGCCACAGAAATCCAACCGCCTCAAGCTGTTAGAAAGGCTGACTGGAATTAACCCATTTGGCGGACAAAACAATTGGGATTATTTCAGTGGAGGCCACATCCCACATGTCGGTGATCTCGTGCGCCAGGTCGAGATACTTCCGGCGTTTCTCGGTGTCAGCTTTCACGAGACCCTCGTCATGCGGGATAGTCACGTCCACAAGAAATACCCTCGACTGCGATCGGTCCAATATCACAATATCAGGCTTATTCGCAAGAATAGTCCTGTCCGTGATAATAGATCGATCCCAATAGATTTTGGTGCGGTCATTTTCGAGTATTGGCTCCGGTGAATACTTGTAATATGGCAACCTCTGTTGCACTAGTCCATACTTGAGACCGAGCTCTTGTTGTAATATTTTGGCTGCCTGGTTGTGTCTGTGCAAGTACTCAGTGTTAGCAAGAGCGGAACAACCGGAAACAATATGCCTAAGTGACTCTCCGGGACGGCCACATGCCCGACAAATGTCTACTGTGCCGTCCTTTAGGATATATTTCCGATAGTTCCGCGTCTTGATAACCTGATCCTGTATTGCACAGACAAAACCTTCGGTTTCCCCAAAGAGGTCCCCGAAAGCAGCCAATGTAGGGAGGCTTTACGGTCCACAAAAGGCTCGTGGAGTACCTTGAAGAACCTCCCATGGAGCTCCTTCTCTTTCCATACGGACTCGCGGTCAGAGGTGCTAAGCACCACCGGGTCTCGCCATTCCTCTTTGGCCAACGATAAGGGAGTTAGCCCTTTATCACATGTGACAACCTCCCCGCGAATTACGTCATCCGTCATCGTCAAAAAGTAGTTTCTGAGATTGCATATCTCGCGGTTGTGCATGGTTTTGACACTCAATAGGCCTCTACCTCGACACTTCCGCGGGACATACAATCTCATAACTGACGATCTCGGATGATGCATTCGGTGAGAGGTCATCGTCGTGCGGACTCGTCTATCCAGAGCGTCTAATTCCGTCTGAATCCATTTGAGCACGCCAAATGTGTACATCAGAACAGGCATGACCCAGGAGTTATAAGCTCGGATCTTATTAACGCCTGACAAATAGCTGTTTAGCACATTTTTCAGGCGCCCATAAAAAACCTCGCACACATCCTGTTTCACGTCTGCTTCCTTCACACCGTTGGTCTGTGACATGCCCAGATACCGGTATGTTTCAGTCTCGGAGAGTACCCGCAGGTGATTGGTGCCAACATTAATGCCATCAGAATGCATGACACGTCCCCTCTCGACATGGACCACCGCGCACTTATCGATCCCGAGCTCCATCCTAACCAAATGCTGAAATCGTTGGTGATTGTCAGCAGCTCTGTCAATCTGTCCGCTGTGGGGCCGTATAGCTTGAGATCATCCATGTAGAGAAGGTGAGGCATCCGCGGCCCACCTCTCCGAAACTGAAAGCCTGTGCCCGACCTCTCTAATAGAGTACTCAGAGGGTTCAGGGCCAGGCAAAACCACAGTGGACTCAGACAATCGCCCTGGAAAATACCTCGCCTTATTTCTATTCGGTCATCCGCATCCGTCATCCGCCGACCGTCCAGACTCAGGATCAAACAGGAGGAAGTGTCGAACTGCACTGTCAATTTTATACAGTTCGAGGACCCTCGAGAGCCATGAGTGGGGTACCGAGTCGAACGCTTTCCTATAGTCTATCCAGGCAGCGGAGAAATTCCGACGGTTGCGTCTGACAAGTTGGCCAGCGACCGCATCGATGAGGAGCAGCTCCTCACTACCGCGGCTACCGCCCCTACATCCGTTTTGAGCCTCAGACATTATCTGTTATCAACAATGTGCTGACTTATCTTGGACCTCAAAACAGATGTTAAAGTCTTGTATATTGTACAAAGACAAGTTATGGGGCGATATCGTGATGGATCCACGGTAGCATTGCTGTTTGGAGCTAAATGAGTGACCCCAGTAGTCAAGAAGTTTGGGAGCGTCCCACTCTCAAGGGCACTTTGGAACTGACGAGCGAGAGTAGCGTGGCAGCACCAGAACCCCTTCAACCAATAATGATGCAGTCCGTCCGGTCCCGGACTTTTCCAGTTCGGAGCCTTACGGACCGCTACCGCTACATCCTCTTCGGATATGCTGATGGGATTCATAGGCGCTATGGTTGCACACGCTCCCTCGACCGCTTCGAACCATGGACCCTCTTCGTGATCGACGGGCTGCGACCAAAGCCTTCGCCAAAAGGCGACCACATCTGCTTTGTCCGGACGCTCACCCGTCAAGAACACATCAGGACGCTCCAGTGTCCTATAAAACTTCTTTTGATCACTCACGAAGAGACGATTCTGCCGATACCTCTTCACCCTTTCGGAATATCGCCGAATCCGCTTGCCCCAAGCAGCTATCTTCTGCTTCAGATCGTCGATGCGCCCTGTCAGTTTTCGTGCAAACTCCGGTGAGTCTACAAAAATGTTCTCACCGGGTAATGCTTCTCGGACAAAGCGCACCACTCTCGGCCTTGTGACGCCTGATATGAAGCTAGTCAGTTTGCCGATGAGGACCCTGGCCCATGCTATACGACCCTCAATTCGCCTCATCCAGGCTGGCTTAGTACTAGTCCTAGGAGTAGTACTGCCAACCTGGTGGTTACCGCCGGGTCTTGTTGGCGTTATCCTGACGCCGACAAATTGACACACAGTCATTGCGGCAGCGAAGAGAATTGAGTCTGTGTCCCAAAGGCCTGCGCTTTCCTTTAAGAATGAGGGAAGCATGTGGTTAATGGCCCCAACGGCATCCCGAACCTTGACACTGTGAGGCACTCGAGGCAGCCATGGCTTTCGCTCAAGAGGCACGTGGCGATATTCCAGAATCGTCTCCTCCAGACTACTCCTCAACGTTTCCAAATCCAGGGCGACTGTTCCCCAATCACTTTTGTAACACATTTTTTTGGTAAATCTCTTAAATACCAAAACAAAAACAAAATTTATCTTCTCTCCTTGGTAATTTCACCACTCTTGTACAACATGTCACTTTGACATCATAGTTTAAAAATATTTAGTAAATTAGTTGAAACTTAAGTGTTGGTGTAATCTATTCTTTAAACCATTCACATATGTAGTACCTGTTGGTGAACGATTTTTCTATAAAATCAATAGCGTGAATGGGTACCCTGTAGTTTGACATATTTTTGAAAACACCAACCCTGGCTAATTTTTCTTGTTTGGTATCACAGAAAACTAGTGCTGCGTACCAATTAACTCGGTTTTACTTTTGTAGTCGAGTCTCATGTAAATTATAGCTTTTCTTTAATATTTCCATGTCGAACGCCGCCATTTAGGTTGCCAAGTACTTCCTGTAAGGTAATCTACGTAAACCTGGAATCGTCATGTATTCTAGCGGGTTTAGGTGATAAGACTTGGGAGCTGTATCTAGATGATTCGATAGATTGTCTATGGCGTTGTTCGCGGGTAACATCTCTTAGGAGGAATTCGGCGGAAACTCATCTTTTCTGTTCGACACGTCGGCGAGCAAGGTGTTCCAGTTTTTACATCTACTACGGTGATTTATCCCATTGGGGGCATGGTCCCCCAATGCCTCTTTTTATAAAATAAACTAGGAATAGCCAGATGCCGTAATTATGGGTCTCCGAACCCTGTACCAAAAGTAAAACCCGTGTCACCGGACCGCATGGTGAGTTGACCTCTGGATTCTTTCCTTCATTAGATGCTTCGTCATTTATATCAATGTACTGTAACAATCTGTTTTGTTGCAGGGTTTTAGTTTTTCTTTTCTTTCTATTTTGTACCTTTGGTACATGTAATTTCGAATCTCGCCATCAACTGAATGGCTGAGACTATGCTGCTGTAACTTTTGTTCGGCTGTGCCCGACCACGTGTCATGAGCTCCACGGGTGGTCGGCATCTACTTATAACTATGTTACTCCTGTAGCAACTACGCTGTCTTCGCAGCGGATTCTGGTATGTAATTTAAATGTACATCCGGTAAACTCCAGGTCAGTGACGTATAAGTGAAGTGTCCATGTGGCACTCATGTACTTTCATAAACTCTTAGTGCAGTGTATTAGCTCTAAGTATACTTAAAGGTAACCTTTTGTATGTAACTAATAAGGGCAGAAAACCTATTCATACTCTCCCTTTGTAAACTCGGGAAGTAAAAATACTAGTTCTTCATGCTGTACCTATAAATTTAATTATAACATGTAACTAATGTAAATTTAAAATAAAGCATTCTGGTTATTTCTACTTGAAACTTGTTTTCGTTGTGTGTAAGGCGCCCTTCCTTCTCCTCGCTTATAAATTTTACACGCATCATCGGGTCAACCACAACTCACACCCACCAACCAGTCTCATGCTCACTCAAACCGACTGGAGCTGACCATTACACTTTCAGTACCACCCGTATCCGGCCGCTGAGCATTAGGTTCCCTGTGAACTTCCCTGCTGGGAACAGGAGAGCGCTCCAGCCTGGGTGGCTCTTCTTCCAGTGGAGGAACAGCCTCGCATCGTAATTGCTCGAGTTCGGCAGCGCTAAAAAGTCCTGAGCGCTGTAGATACCGAACTCGGTCCGCCAGGTTTTGTTCTGTGACGATCAAAGTTGGCTCCAGCCGAAGAAATTCGCGGTACATTACTGCTCGATAACCTGTCCGTCCGGTTCCCGAACCTGAGGCCCTAAAATAGGCCCGCATGGCATTTTTATTTATATCAACCGTCCATGCCATGCGGCGCCGTACTCCACCAGAGGCGGGTACCGATTGCTGGGACCGAGTTGCCCCAGCCCCTGCCGATACCATGCCAACTGGTGGTGATGGATCGTGAGTAGACTGACCAGATGGTCGGGCCAGTCTGCCCAGGTTTCTGTACATCAATGAACTCAAGCGCTGACTGTTTGCACTGCTGAAACGGTAAAGTAACATGATATTCACTGTGCCGTTCCATCAGTGGGCGATGAGGTCGTCACATCCCTACGCCATTTTATTATTATTATTATTATAAATCCGTTGGTTCATTTTATTTATTATTTTGGACATTAAATTGACAACGATAACTAATTTTGTTTATTAAAACTAATGTGTTATAAAATATTACTATAGTCTGTCCTTTTTGAAGACGAAGTAAAACGGCACTTCACTGCGTAAAAGTGTTGCCCGCTTGCGAGCAGCTAGTGATTGCAGTCGATAAATATTCTATCGATTATCGACTGAATATTGGTCACGCTTATGAAATAAATAGCCGAACTTCTTTCATTGCAATCATCCTCGATCCATTATTCATTCTATTACTGCATCCAAGTTCAATTGAATTGTCAATTTTTGTAAATTCATACTTACATACAACTGTCTCTGTGGCCGAACGGTTACCATGCCGGACTGCCACGCAGAGGTCCCAGGTTAGATTCCCGGGCCGGGAGAAATGTTTGTATGGCCTACATTTATTTCTCTCGTGAGTTTGGGTGTAATTTGTGGTTGTCTATGTGTGTGTCCATGGCACCCGCGACACAGGGTTTCCCTAGTACGGGGCTATGTTGAGTGTGTGCGTTATTTATATATTTAAACTATATTTAGAAATGTTCTAAATAATGTTAGAAATATTTTTTTCGTTTCAATTCAATAGAGATAACCTATAAAGAGCTATGTTGAGTGTGTGCGTTATAAAAAAAATCAAATCCGGCTATTCTTGTAAAAATGCATATGAATAAAATTGATCTCTTGATACTAGTAGGCCAACTGTCAAGATAAAAATAAAAAAGGCAATAACGCAATTAACAATAATTAGAACGTCGTAACATCACAAGTCAGTCATTTTTGGCAAAATTTTATCTTCTTTCACAATCTGTCGATAAAACTATCGATAACAACTACGTAACTATTGAAAATTTTATGAAAACTGGCAAGCAAATACACAAATGTCGTTTTACTCCGTCATCAAAAAAGACGGTCTATAGTTCAACTGTGTTTCTTCCCTCTACCATTTTCCTCCCTACAGTGAGGTGAAAAGTTGTGTTTCACTCGACAGCAAAATTGTGCCTTTAAACCCTTGCTACGTTCAGGATTGTATTTTTTTTATTATCTTAGGAACCTTCCCTTGCTCAGGTGTTAATACATTGCACTCGCGTCAAACAAAAACTTTGCAGCCTTGCATAACATACTATTTCTTTTATTTACTCTTGTACATTTAATAATTTTTTTAAATACCTGCTTTACATGAAAAATTTTGAATTATTAATAGAGGCAGCATTCCTATGGCGCAGTCGATTGGGGTCAGGGACTCAACCGGGAACAAAAAAAGGGAACCTGTGAACGATACGTGCCGTGTCGAATACCGTTTTCTGCATTTACGGAAACGAGAAATCCAACCGCCACAAGTTTTTAGCGAAACTGACTGGAATTAACCCATTCAAGGAAAAACAATTGGGATCATTGCAGTTGGAGGCACATCGCACACGTCGGTGATCTCGTGCGCCTTTATTATTGTTGTGTTACGTCGTATTGTATATGTTAATTGGCATTTTAGCCTGTGTTAGATGATCTACATATACGTAACATGCCTTATTGCATCTTCCATGGAAACACCGAAGACACATGTATTGTGCAATCTACATGTAAGCTGTGTAGCATTTTCCGTGGAAGCAGCGATTGCCACATGCGACCGCCTAATTTTCCGATACTGAAGAAGGTGCTTCTTCACTGTGGTTCTCACATCGATCGAGCATTGCCGTAAATTCTAAATAAGAATTATAATTGTAATTTTTTTACTTATAAATTAAATTGTTTTAAATCTTTTTCGGTTTTTTTTAAGTCCATTGGCGGCGTCTAACCTAATTCCTGAAATAAACGATTATTCTCTCATTGTGACTTCACACGTTGTTCTGTCACTTTTCAGTTTCATTCATTCATTTCATTAATTATTTTGTTTGTTATTCTTTCTTTAAAATGAACTTGTATAGTGTTATACTTTCAATTACTACTTCAACGTGTCGTCGTAACTGTCTGCAAGAGGATCTAGACAGGTGTGGCTGTCAACCCGTTTACAGCCGGCTGCCCAGATTGCTGCTGCTGCTGCCGAATATGTTAGATTTTTTGTTTATATAAATCTGGCGCATTGTGGAAAGTTGCCGCTACTCAGCTTTAAATCGCAAATTCCTGCGCGGCGCAAACTTGTCCCACATGCCTGTAATTTCACCAGCACCATTTCCTTTCAAACCCGGAACGCAGTAATGCTCAACCAATTACTGCTTGGCTGCAGAAACAGGTGACAGTACTTCCCAGTACGATTCTTTTGACAAGGAACTCTACTGCTTCTAAATGGATTCATCTCGTGTTTGTTTTCTAAGGGACCTCACTTACCGAGCGAGCGAGTCCTATGCAAATTGGGAACTCACCCCAATGTTAGAACAGACTTCATTAGCCTTTAGGGTAAATAACCCCACCCGAATAAGTTTCGCAACTGAATAAATTTTTGTATATTAACTTTTTTGCAAAACATTGCAAAAGTCATTGTATCACAAAGCATAATGCTTAGTGACTGTTGGCGGGGAGCCAACAGCCAGGGAGATAGGTATGGGGGAGGGGGTGTGAGAGAGCCTTCTTTTGTAGTTAATCAGTTTCCGTTGACTAGACATTGTTAAAATTCAGTTGTGTAAGCATATTTCGTGCATGGATCTCGGTTACAAATACCATCACCCCACATTGTGATTTATTATGTGCGAGGGAGGCTAGCAAGCAAGTTAGTACACGTGCCGTTACTAACCTTTCAACTCTTAAAACAATTCATTAGATCGCATTGAATGAAAATCACTGATTTGTTTTTAAACAGCCTCTTCATAAACCAGTAATCCGTGTTTAGCAGCAGGACTTAGAAACGTGTATGGACAAATTATGTAAATAACACAAGAAATAAGAATGAGTGTTACAAACCATTTCATT